TATACATGCAATTGCAATTAACATAACCAAGAAAATCATATGTCATCGATGATGATGTTTTTTTTTTCATTTTGTGGATGAGGCTCACAATAAGTCAATAAAAAACATAATAGCTATCATGTTGCGCCATGTAAAAGAAGAATATATGTAGTCAAGAGATTTCTTAGGATATCTTATTGTTGGTAGGGAAAATTTTATATAGAAAATATTAGGAATAAAGGATGAGATTCTCTTCTTCATTGTGTTGTTTCATTTTGCTACTACAAAATCTATTTTAGTTATCAATATGGATGATTTTATACTTTCCTCTTGGATGTATCGCTTCCAACGAAAAATATCATATGTTGATTTTGATCTTTTGGATGTGTAATTAATTATGTTTTCACAATCTTGTCAATTACGCGATAAGTCAGATTTCATTTGTGGCTTTATCTTCAAAATATAGTCTTGCATTGGAAATTTTCAGGTTGAACAAAATATGAAACATGCACAAGATAAAAATGTAAGTAAGGCCAGTAAAGAGATTAAGAATGAACAACTTAATTTTCTTAACTCTTAGTTTGTGAATAATAATAAAACAATTACGTGAATTTATGATGTGACTAATTATGGAAAATTTTCAGAGACATATTGTACTGTGAAATGGGTTTAATCGAGACAGATATGATTTTTCAAATACAACTTAGTGGAATAAGTATAATGCAATGATATTCTTTTTATTTTATAGAAATTATAAATCAAATGCACAATTGCAGTAACTAGTAAGTCATAGACTCACTGTTTGTTTATAAATGATTGATATACATGAAAAATGTCAATAAATATTTTGTTCATTGATTATTAATTTTAATTTTGTTTTTGTATATTCAGGATGCGATTTATGTTCAATGCGAGTAAAATATATTTTTTTCTTTTTATATATTTTCATCTTTTCATAGTTCTCTCATTTTTTGTTTATAATTATTTTCAATGTAAAGATAAACTTTTTTTAAGGTAAATAAACATTATAATAATAACAATGAGTCACATGACTTACTATATTATCAATAAAATATTGTGGTTGTGAAGAATCTCATTTTCAAGGTTAAACTTCTCGGTTGTGAGAGATTTTGATGAACATATCAACAAGCTGTGATGGTTGTTCAATAAGCTTAATTATATAACATTTGGCCAAGTTTCTTTAATTGCCTGCATGAGAAACTAGTTGTTTATATATTTAAAATATTGATCAACATATCAACAAGCTGTGCCGGTTGTTCAATGAGCCCAATTATACAATGAATGTTCAATGGGACCAATTATATAAAATTTGGTCAATTTTCTTTGATTGCCTGCGTGAGAAGCTAGTTTTTTTTATTTATTCAAATTATTGATGAACATATCAACAAACTCTGATGGTTGTTCAATAAGCAAAATTGTATAATATTTGGCCAAGTTTCTTTGATTGTCTGCATGAGAAACTAGTTGTTTATGTTCTTAATTTAATTTTAAACATATCAACAAGTTGTGATAATTGTTCAATGAGTCGAATTGTATAATATTTGACCAAGTTTTTTTTATTGCTTGCATTAGAAACTAGTTGTTTATGTTTATAAGTTATAAATATTATAAAATATTATAACTCAATTCATGTTTCATTAGTAATCTTTCAAAATATGGTTTTTTTCTTTCTATTTTTATGTGTCATCCATCAAAATCTATTGGAAACACGCACAACTCTCTCAAGTTTTTTGGAGCTTAACATGAGATCAAATATTTTTTAGGTTGAACAAAGTACCAAACACGCAAAATACTCATAAGTTTCTTAAAGCTCAACAAAATATTAAATAATTAAATCAGAAAGGCAAAAAGGTTAAAATTGAGCAACATAATTTTCTTAATACAAAATTTACAAATAATCATAAAATAGTTACATGAATTGATGAGGTGACTAATTCGGTGGATGTTCAAAGGTATACTATATTATGGAATGAGTTCAATTGATATGGAAGATAAGTTTCAAAATTTGAATTTGTGGAATAAGAATAATGCAAAATAATTCTTTTGTTTTTGCATACTTTACACATCATATGATAATTTTCTAAAAATAAGTAACGGGAACTCTTTTTGTTTCTAAGTGATTCATATACTTTCGAATTACCAAGAAACATTTTTTTTTCCTTCTCGGAAACTAATTTTGATTTTTTCATTCTATGTTCAGCCTTCGATAGCCAGATTTCTTGGATTTCTTACATGAGAAATTAGTCAATAATACATATATTTATTTAAATGTTAGCCATTCAAACTCAAACGACGTACTGTTGGTAATCTTTCATCATCTAATTTGTGCTTTATGCCTTCATTGTCTGGTTGATTATTAACTTAGAATCTAAAATTTTCTTACTACTCTTTTGTGTCATCCATTGTAATCCAATGGAAAGACACTAAAATCTCTCAAATTTCTTAGAGCTTAATTGAAGATCAAATATTTGAGCAAGGGTGGTAAAAATTTTAAAAATTTACAACTAGATTTTCATAACTCATAATTTTGGATTAGCAAAACACTTATATGAATTGATGAGCTGACCAATTTTGGAAGATATTTATAGCCATATTGTATTATGATATAAGTTCAACTAAGATAGAGGAATAGTTTTGAAATACGGATTTGTGGAGCAAGAATAATGCAATAATATTTTTTTGGTTTAGTAGAAATTACACATCACATACACTATTGTAAGTAATAGAGGTTAATATTCGTTTTAAAATTGTTGTTATACTTGCAAAACGTAAATAAATATATTTTTCGTTGATCATTAACTTTGAATTTGTTTTTGTTTTTTTTTTGTAAAGTCAATGTTGAAAAGATAGTCACAAGGAGGAAGAAAGAAAAGTGTGGGAGTCGACCAATAGTCAAACTCCCAATGAGAGGGCCTTTTGTGCCACATGAGGGGCAACCCTATTGAGTTGACGGGACACAAAACAGTAAGAAATTCTGCTAAACAAGGATGCCAAGCTCTTAGCGTCCGCCAAAATAGCGTCTCCCCGACCATGATGCAGATCACCTCCAACCATCCGTTGGATTAATAGTTGAGAGTCCCCATGCAAAGTAACAGCAAGAAAGGAATGGGTTAGACACCACTGCAAGGCATCACGTAAAGCTAAACATTCCATAATAAATGGATCTTGAATTCCATCATAATATTTTCCAAATGCAAAGAGGACAATACTTGTCCCTTGGAAGCCTACGAATGCGATACTACCTCCTTGGCCACGCTTGACCGCCCCATCGAACCATACTACCTCCTTGGCCCAACACGAGCTGTTGCAGCAGGGAGATGAGCACTGCTACGATAAGGCTGAGGCGGAGGTGCCTGTGTAGCCTCCCTCCACTCATCCACTTTGCGTTGATACTGTCGAAATAATGCATGAGGGAGATACTGAATGTGATCATAAACCGCCCAACATCGTTCCTTCCAAATTCTCCAAAGAATGAAAACAATGTTAGCAAGTTCGAGTTTGGAAAAGTTCATAGAGAAGAAAAGATGTTGCCAGGCCTCATCGAGAGCCATTCCACCAAGAATAGTACTCATGTCTTCAAGGTTAGCCAATCTCCAAAGGCCTCGAGCTATCCTGCAGGTAAAAAAAAGTGGGAAAAGGATTTTGGTTCCCCAGAACAAATAGGACAAAGAGTGTCAGTAACAAGAGTTTTAGTGAACAACACTATCTGTAGAGCCAAGAAACCACGAACAGCCCGCCAAAGAAAGAACTTCAGTTTGAGTGGCACAGGAATGCTCCAAAGCAGCTTCCAAAATCTAGAGTCAAAAAGTAGCGCCACCGAGGGGTGTAGAAGGTTGTACTCAGATGATATCCGGACTTAACAATGTAGATACCATAAGGAGAGTAATGCCAAATCAAACGATCAGAGGAGAAAACTAGAGGGAGCGGAATAGACAAGATAAGATCAACACTTGCTTGAGAAAAAAGAGAGGTTAACATATCCTTTTTCCAAGAATGAGAAACATGACAAATGAGGTCCGAGATAAGAAGGGGGCATGCACTCAAACCTGGTAGTAATAAAGGACAACAAGGCGAAGTGGAAGGAAGCCAGTTATCTTGCAAAGTTCGGATCCGAGAACCATCTCCAACCTGCCATGGTAAGCCTTTGAGGAGGAGGTCCCGCCCTTCCAAGATGCCTTGCCATGCCCATGATGGCTGGGAGCCTGCTGTCGCATCAAGGAATCTCCGCTGAGGATGGTACCGAGCATGATAGATCCGGGCTAGATAGCTGTAGGGATGGCAATGGGTCGGGTTGGGTCGGGTTTTGTCAAACCCAAACCCAAACCCATGGGTTTAACTTTGAAAAAAATCCGGGGTAAAACCCACTGGGTTTGAAAAACTCAAACCCAACCCAACCCGTTGGGTATCTGCGGGTTCATGGGTACCCACGGGTTTTGTCGTAAAAAATTTACATTTACAAGTTCTTATCAAAATTAAAGTCAAATATCAATCTCTCAATACAAATTATCCATATATAAAACACCATTCTAGAAAATTCAAGCAAATCACAAATTAACTATACAAATTGTTCAACACCAATCTAGAAAACTCAAGAAAATTGAAGCAAATCACAAATTATCCATAAATAACATGTTTAATTGAAAGCTTCTTCCTTTCAATTAAGTTTCTTTACTCTCCACTCCATAACATCAACTTCATTCTACACAATTAAAAAGAAAAAATTAGACATGTCTCCACAAACATAAATAAGATTAGTTGTTTAGAATATTAAATATACCGAAAAAATTAATTATATGGATGGGCGGTTACCCACGGGCCGGGTTTACCTAAACCCAAACCCAACCCAACCCAGTGAATAGTGAACGGGTTTAAACCCAAACCCAACCCAAAACCCGTCAACACGGATTTTACCCGCGTTGACCGGGTTGGGTCGGGTGGGTACCCGTGGGTTCGGGTTTTGTTGCCATCCCTAGATAGCTGTCAGGGTTGCAGAGGATGCGTCATGCCTGTTTGGCTAGCAAAACAACATTAAAACGATTAAAATCCCAAAAACCTAACCCACTAGCAAACTTACTTTGACAGACAGCACTCCAAGATATCCAGTGAATGCCATTCTCCTTGTCCTGGTTGGCCCACCAAAACTTATACAACTGACTGTTGCAATGGCGACAAGTTTCTTGAGGAAGTCTGAAAGCGGACATAGCATAAATAGAACCAGCAGGCCCAATGGCTTTGATAACAACTTCTTTCGCCGCTAGGGACATCGTCTTAATCTTCCATGTCCTTATTCGAGCCGCCAAGGCCTCTTCAATGAATTGAAAGGATATAAACTTGGATCGACGGAGTTGGGAAGGGAGTGCCAAGTACCTGTCCTCGGGAGTCATTATAGCAACTCCTAAAAACGAGCTAATCGATAATAATTCATGTTCTGAAACATTTGCACTCACACACACAACAGATTTATTCAGATTAACCCATTCCCACTAAAAATTTCATAGTCAACTAACAGTTGAAGAAGATTTGTAGATTCATGGATAGAGGCACGAAGGAAAAGATAGGAATCATCTGCGAAAAAAAGATGAGATAAGGGTGGAGCAGACCTGTGAACCTTCAATTCATAAAGCGTAGAACTCTCAATAGCTTGGCTGATCTTTGCTGCAAAAGCTTCAATGTAGACGGCGGAAAGAAGAGGCGACAAGGGATCACCTTGGCGGATGCCTCGCTGAGGCCGAAAGTAGCCGTACTCACTACCATTGAGCAGCACTGAGAAGTGGATAGTAGTGATGCAGGACTTAGTCCATTTCATCCATTGAGCACAAAATCCCATCGACTCCATAATTTGAAAAAGGAATGCCCACTCTACGCGATCATACGCCTTTTCCATGTCGAGTTTAAGCGCCATCCACTTGTCCTGTCCGCGAACCTTTGTTTTAAGAAACTGCATCACCTCTTGACCAATAAGAATATTATCAGAGATGCAACGTCCTTTGAAAAATCCATTTTGAAAAGGACTAATAATGTGAGGGAGGATGGAACTTAGCCTATTGGAGAGAATCTTGGAGATAGCTTTATATAGAACTTGGCAAAGGCCAATTGGTCGCATTTGTTGCATAGAGTCGGCATTTGACACTTTGGAAATAAATGATAGCCATGTATGATTGGTGCTATGCAGAAGACGACCCATCTGAAAGAAGGAGAGGAGAGCCTCAGTCACATCCCACCCTATCTCATCCCAAAACCATTGATAGAAACCAGCTGTGAAGCCATCTGAACCTGGAGCTTGGTACTTCCCAATGCTGAAAAAGGCTTGCTTGATTTCGGCACTGGTAACATGTGCAGTGAGAAATGCATTTATATATGAAGTAATCAGAAGCGGAAAATGCAGATTAGTAACAAACTGTGAAGAATCCAAGCCATTTGAGGTGAAAATATTCTGGAAATAAGAGGTAGAGACTTCCCCTTTCTCCTACTCGTCAGTATGAAGTTCGCCCTGATCATCCGCAAGAACTGAGATGATATTAGCTCGCCAACGTTGTAGAATAGCCAGATGAAAGAAGCGCGCATTAGCATCACCTCCTCGAAGCCAATTAACATGGGACTTTTGTTTCCAATAGAGCTCCTTTTGCCGGTAAGCCTCTGTTAAAAGAGTCTCCAATTTGTTAATCTCATCCCAATAAACAGCAGCAACATCTCTTGCTATATCAATAGCGCCTCGAAGTTCCCAAATTTGACGGGCAGAATTCGAAGTCCCAGCTTTTTCCCAACCCAAATCATGCCGCACCTGTTTGAGCCTTGCTTGAATGCGAAATAGTGGAGTTCCTGCAACAGGATTATGCCACGCAGAAAGAAGAATAGGCGGCACCTCCGGGTTTAAATTCCACCGATTATCATAGTGGAAAAGTTGGTTCCGCCTAGCAGCCGGCTGCACAAACCAAAGAAGAAGAATCCTATGATCCGATCCCCTGTCCGAAAGGTGATGAACCTGCAGTTCTGGCCACAAGGAAAGAACTAGATGGTTAGCTAAACAATGATACAATCAGGATTGAATGTGATTGACATTCGACTGTCGATTAGACCATGTAAATGGAGGCCCATAGAAGCCTAGATCTTGGAGACCGCCTGCTGTCAACAAAAGGTTTAATTATTGTAAAGCTGTGGGAGTAGGAGGTCGACCACCCTGTTTCTCACTACTATAAAGTAAACAATTAAAATCACCCATCACAAAAATAGGATCCTCATACGAAGAAACAAGAAAAGAGATTTCATTAATTTGAATTTGGCGGGGTGCTACATCACAATATAAATGAACGAAGATCACAGCAAAGCGCTCCAAAGATGGGTGGTCACATTCTAAAAACAAGAAACCTGACGATTCAACCGAAACAGAACACACTAAACATGAGAACCATGCAACAGCTAAACCCAGGGGTGGCAGTTCGGTTACCGATTACCGGTTAACCAGTCGATTAAACCATAACTGGCCGGTTATCCACTAACCGGCAACCGACCGAACTTCGGTCGGTTATCGGAGACTGGACGAATTGGTTTTTGTTCTTAAAAGTGGTTATATTAATCGATAACCGAGAAACCGAAGCCTATTTTGGTCGGTATTTGGTAGGGGAATGGTTATTTCGGTTAACCGATAACATGCCGATCGGTTACCGGTTATAACCGAAATAACCGAACTGCCACCCCTAGCTAAACCGCTACCAAACACACTATGTACACATTCCTCAGTAAAACCAAGAGAAATCAGCTGCTGAACAACAAAATCATCATCACGACGAGTCTCATTTAAGCAAACCTTAAAAGGGGAGTCCCGAGCTAGAGCTTCCCGGAGTACCGGAACTGTCAGGGGAGCTCCCAAACCCCAACAATTCCAAGCAAGGATACTCATTTATCAACCTGGGACTGGTTTGGGCCAATTGCCTCCACCCTGACGTGCTGAAAAATAGAATATTATTGCTCCTGAGGCGCAAGACGAGCCTTCTAGGCAAGGGGCTCAGAAACCTCGATCATTTCGTGGTCATGAGAATGAGGCAATGAGGTGTTCTGGTCACTCTTCTCCTCATGAGCCAAGTCTGAAATCTGCAGCCTTCTTCTATGTCCATACTGTGATGGATGTTTAACGGGGTAACCATAAAATTTTTGTTTTTTTAGTTTGACATTATTGTCATCATAGATTAACCTTTTGTGCTTTGAATGAACTCCATAATGGTAGAATGAGTCGCATGGATTCTTACACTATCAATGAAATTTTGTGATTGTGAAAAAGTTCATGTTCGAAGTTGAACTGCTGAATTATGAGATATTTTTATCAATAGATCAACAGGTTGTGATGCTTGTTCAACGAAACGTGTTGTATAACTTTTGATTATATTTTTTTATGGCATACATGATTCAGATCTGCACCAACAAAAACAAAAACACCCAAGTGAAAAGCAAGGGTGGAAAAGAAAAGAAAAACGCTAAAGTAACAAACTTCTGCCTTTCCTAATAATCTAGAAAGTCCCCGGCAACGGCGCCAAAAACTTGAATCACTCCTACTGTCACTCTAGAAAATGGCCAAGTGTAACCACTTCCTAAAAAAAAAGTGTAGTATAGCGGGTTTGGGTTTTAATGTCAACCCGGGTCCTAGATTTGATGACTACTCGGTGAATTCTTGTTATCTAGCAGTAAAACTTTAGTGCAGGTTCGAACACACAAAAACACAAAGCAAGTAAACGGTTGTTTTCAAGTCAAGAGAGGTCACCCGGATATGGTTCCCCCTAGACTGCAGTTAAGCCGGATTGCAATTTACCAAGTTCAGTTTTCATGAAAGTTATACTGCGGAAGGTTCTAAAACAGTCTGAAGTCTCGACTAAAGGTCTCCAGACCCTCTCAATCTAAGTCTCCAGCGGGCGACTAACCTCCACCGGAGTAAACAGATTGAGGCCCTAACGAACAAAACCTCCACTACCGAAGTGAATTCGGTACAAAATAGTGAGTTGGCTCCTCGACTAAAGTCACCAACTCCCTATCTTCAATCAAGGATACTCTATCAACCTAGGCAGATATTCTCGTTCTAGGTCAAAGCAGAAACAACAGGAATTTGATCGGGATTCAAGTCATTCAATCATTCAAGCCTCAATCGAATATAATCAATTCATAAACTCTGTACTTGGGTTCATACAATCAGACCTAACATACAAATCTAGGATTCCCCATACCCCGATGAATGGGGAAACTACTCCAAGGAGAAAGAAGCAAAAACAGATTCAGACGCGGAAATCATACTGTGAAGATGGATTTCTGCTCCTGGTTGACAATCGGCACTTCTCCAAGCTCAAGCCGGGCTCCAATGGTGATGAAGATCAAGCTATGGCACTTGGGAACTCTGGTTCGTCGCTTTCTCTCTCTAGGAATCGCTCTGTCTCTCTAAAACTCGGAACCTTTGAATGTTGGCCTTCTTCTCCTTTAAATTGGCTGCCTGTCGCGATACCCGGTCGAAATACCCGGTCGTGTATTATGGGTCTCGACCGGGTATTATTTAAAACGCGCGTTTCGGTAGAGGGAAAATCCCCGGTCATACCCAATAATCCCCGATCGGGGATTTAAGCTTCACGCCCGGGCCCCTCTCTGTTTCACGGGCGCCCAAAATGATAAATACCCGGTCGGGTATTTAGCCACCTGACCGGGTATTTTCCTCCTGCAGCCCCCTTCGTCCCAACTTTGCTCCTTTCGACCCAGAACTCGTTTCTCCGCGTCGATTCCAACACCGGGTCTTGAAATATGACATAAACACACAACCTAGCGTGAAATCGGCTTAAAACACGAGAATCAACATCTCAAACGGCTTTAGAATAGGGGTGAAAACATGTGTAATTATCAGTCTATCAAACTCCCCCACACTTAACTGTTTGCTTGTCCCCAAGCAAACCTAACTCAAACCAATGCAACTCTCCAGACCTCTATAGCAACAAACAACCCCGATCGTAGGTAGAGGACTTCCTAGATCACTTAGCAGCTTACGAGGTCAACCGACGCACAAGTCATCTCGTAACTTCTTCGGCGAGAACGCTAGTCTCGAGTCGGCATCATGGCAAATAGTGAGCAGAGGACAAATGAATCATGGATGAAGAGACTCTCAAAAACAAAAGATCATGGACTCACATTTGTCAAGGTGCTCTGTTTTCTTCTTGAAGATGGTTGGAACCCCTTT